CTTTAGATACTTTCAATTACCTTGACGATATGGTGAGTGTGAAAACTAACCTCTTATTTTGCAGCTTAAATAACGATTCAATAAAATTTAACTTGATTTAATGTAAACAGTGACGTTGTTATTTGGGAAATACTTCGATTTATTCTTCAGGCTATGCAAAGTAAAACACTGGATTCAGAAAATACTTAAAGTTGTGGAATCATTGTTTCTATCTATTTTAAGTAGATATCGAACTAAGCAATAAAATTATTGTGATTTCTTTAAAAAATAAGTATAGCAGGTGTCTTAGGATTTAGGGTTCTATACACCAAGTACTTTTTGATATGCATTCCTAGGTTAGCTTTGTCTTTTATAGTATTTGGTTTACCAGAACTTGTGTTTTTCAGTCGGTTTCCATCGGCACCAAAAAACTTGGTAATCGGGGTGTTTATTGACAAAACAGTTGCCGGGAAACCGTACACAAAATCACAAATCCAAGCTGTCTTGAAACTGGTCCAGTCTCCCACTCTCGTCGAATCCTTTACACTTTCGTCCAAAATTTGGTTGGTTCCTTCTGCAAGATGATTCAATACGATACTGTGCAGGTCAAAAATGTGTCCTGGTAAGCTTTGTCTAATGTTGGCTTGGTGTCGGATTTTCATTCTTGTGGCTTGATAGGCAGCCTGAACTGCACACGGAGGGCACCTATGTGTGCTCCTTTCCGGAGCCTCCGCCGCCGGAGCCTCACTTGAACCCAGGCACTTGGCATGGTCATCTGGAGCCGTATCAGCGGCTTTTCTATCACCAGACGATGAACTCGGTGCGCTCGAGCAAGCGATACCGTGCCAACCCGAACGTCCCGAAGGACGGTCTAGATTTCTCGCTGCAGTCACGCTACGACCATACCCGTGAAGCCTTTCCGGACAAGGTTGATTACGTGATGCAACGGGAGACGTGCCGCGCCATAAGCAGCTGGTCGGCTCCCGGGGCCTCCAAGGAAATTGGGGCCCAGCTCAAGTCATTTCGAGTCTTACGCAACACTCGGTTTATTCGGCGCAAACAGGAGGATGTTCTTGGCCATCCTCTTCGCATTGGTAAGTTATCCCATTAAGAGACTTTTTTGTCCGCACGTTTAGAGCGTTTTAGAGCTATAATACTTAAGAAAAATTGGGAGTTTAAAGGATACTAATAGTTTATAATGCGGAAAAGCATACGGCTCTTTGAATAGTGCACCATTCCACTTTTAAGAGGGTCTTAACAAATTGGCCCTTTAAAAAAAAAGTATTTTAAGTTGAATGGAGGAAATTTTGATTTCAAAATATAGGGAAATTAGAAAAACTTTTTTAAGTCCAAATAAGTTTAAAAAGTAAAGGTACAAAGAAAAGTTTATTTTAAAAAAACATCACCTACAAGTAAAACAAGTTATCAGTTAGAAGTGATTGAAAGTTTAATTTTAATCCCTAAATACAAATGTGCACTGAATTCTGTTAAATTTTGTCTTTGTAAAAATGTTAGTTCAAGGCAATAGTTTTATAGTAACTAATATCAACTTGTTATAAATATTTTGATATTGATAATATATTTCCAGGCGGATGTAAGGAAAAAATCCACCCGCACAGCGTCAAGTTAATTTGCAGCGGCGTCCACAACCAGCTGGTCAACAACGGATTCTCGCGCCAGACCTCCGACGGCAACTTCTTCCGCTATTAGTTCCTCGAAGGCATTCGCTTTCCCAGAAAAAATACCGTTTTGTGTTTTGGGTTTTACAAACATTATTGGCAATAAATTTGTGACATAGAAGCAGTTGTCACGCAGTCGCCTCCAGCTTGGCCTGCTTGGCGGGGTGCTTCGCATCACCATCTTCCTCCACCGCTTGTGGGCCATCCTTCTGGTCCTCCTCCGGCTGCTGTTGCGAAGCTTTGTGACGCTGCTTCTTGTTCTGGTTGCGGTAGCTTTTGGGCAGTTTATTTTCGCCAATCCTAGGATGGGGTGGGAGTTAAGTATGCGAAAAAACGGTTGTTTTAGGACTTAGCTTACATAATAGTGGCTCTGGTGCCTGGTCCCCAATGAGGTGTTGGATTCTCCTGGAAACGCGATAGTGCAGATTTGCGGCTTTTGGGATTGGCCTCCGGGTGAAGGTCATCAAACTCGTAGTCTGCGGTGCCTTCCTTCGAAAGTATGGCCTGCAGAGGAGTTCCGGAAATCATTCTCTCGGGATTCACCGGATGCCTCTTGCTCCAGCTACGCAGGATGTCCCACAACACCGCTGGCGGGGCATCGGTTTTCAACGAGTTCTTCGAGGCATGTGAGTAGGAGACTCGATAGCCTGCATGTAGGATGGCAGAGCGGAACTTCAGCATGGGTACAATCTCCAGCTTAAGCACACAGCATAGTTTGTCCGGAGTATAGTAAAGTGGAACATCATGCAGTTCCTCTTGTACCATGGAAAGCACTCCAACGATTCTCCTTTGGGTGCCCAGGGATTGCAACGGTGTTTCCTGCACGGTCTTCAACAGATCCTGGACGAACTCTGGGTTGTGAATCGGAGCTGACCATATGGGTCCACCTAGGTGGTGCCTGTGACCGCAATGCTCGCACTGCGAGTTAACCGCCGGACCTGTCGGTATCCCGAATTTCAGTTGCTGCGGATTACCCGCCGTGGGATTGGGCTTAGTGGTGCCCAATGGCTGAAGGGTAAAGGTCTCGCAACCGGTGCACTGGTATATCCAAGACTGCTTACTCATCGACAGCTTGCACTGGGCCTGTCCGACATACACTCGAACAAATATCCGGACGTAGAAGTCCGCGGAGATGCTCAGGAGCGGCTCAATGTATTTGCCGTGCCTGTTGGCATGGCTCTCGATGCAATGAAGCAGGATTCTTAATGCCATCTCATGGCAGCACTTCATCCGCAGGGGCACCGACCCGTATTTAACGTAGCATGCTTCCGGAGCATTTCCGGCCAGCACGGCCATATCGGTGGCTGTCACCAGCAGCAGACCGCCGTCTACTAGGCACTGCATAGCCCCGTCCAGGAAGCGATTGGGGCATCCGTACGGATCGAGGTCCACAGCATCGAAGCGCTTTTCGGGGTGAGTCGAAAGATACATGAGGGTCCTGTAAGATATAGATGGATAAGATATGATGATTGGAAAAGTTGTTCAGAAATTTGTATAATTATTTATACAATTGATTAGTAAATTATCGTTTAGTATTATTCTTTGTCCATATATGTATGTTGATTAATGTTTTCTATCTAATAAACTTTTAAATTTTTCGGTATTGTACGCTACAATTATTACTAATTGATCCGAAGGATTTTAGATGTTCCCCTAAACGTATCAACACTTTGTACTTACATGGCATCCGAGTGACTGGGCTCGATCAGCTCCTCCACTTTGTTGTGACGGATATTCGTGTTGATAGAGGCCACCGCCTGGCGGGAAAGGTCGTTGGCCACAATCTGGCGTACTCCGGCGATTTCTTGGGCGTAGCGGATGCTCCGCAAGCCGGTGGCTGCGAGGGCCTCGAGGATCCGAAGTCCATCCTCATAGCGAGTGCCTGCCACATAAACGGATTGATCCTCGGGGACGGGAGAGGGTTTCCCTTCGTCCTCCTCTTTTACCTTCCTCCGCTGCTTTTTGATCGCCTTTTCGATCCTTTCCTTTGCTAATCTCCGAAAGTAAACATTCAAAACCGCGATGCTCAGATCTCGATTAAATTCCTGGACAGGATTGTAAAAAACATTGCCGCCGGAAACGATCTCCGCATTGCGTTCGCGGATCACGGTCTCGTTGGGGTTCTCCGCAATTATCTACAAGGGATTGGTTCGTTTCAAAGGTTTAATTCCAACTTAAGAGATTTTATTAACAACCTGCGGTTTTTCCTCCTCGACTTCCATTTGGTAACGATAGAAATCATCCACGTGGGGAAACGATAAGTCAGAAACGTAGCTATAGCTAAATAGTCATTACAAGTTATAGCTGGATTACTATACAGATAGCTAGGTATTAAGTCAATTACTTTTGAAAATACTTTCAAAATTCACAACGCTGTTGTATACTTTTATAAAAAATAAAAATTCAAAATTCTGAAATAACAACATAATCTTTTTTTTTATATCATAACTAACTTTTATATAACTATACTTTTTGTAACTAACAGCTGGTATTCTTTTAATATTCATACGAATACTAATTAAATTTTTCAAATTCTGCATTAATGTTTGACTTATAAAGTTCCTGGTTAATTTTAAAAACTCTAAAAGAAAGTATTTAAAGCGATAGATACATTAAAAGTTTCGAACGACAAGTGAACAATTATCATACACACTCGAAACTAGCCAGCATGCCATCACCAGAATTATCGAAAGGCCCATCAGAGCGCAGTCCACCCCTAAGCCTGATAAAGAAATTAATTTGCAGAAGTGAAACAGCCGCAGCCGCAAACGGAAGCAAAACAGCTAGAAACGATAGGAATTTTGTACTTTTATACAGCGACACAAAGAAGCCACAGAATGACCGATCTGCGCAACGAGATGGACAGCGATCTGGACCAGAACTACTCCCTGAACAGCAACGCGGACCCCAAGAACATGCAGGAGCTGACCATATACGTGAGTAATGCCCGATCCGGGAACACCCAGTAATAGACACCCCCAAGTGAGCACCCAGTAAAATCCGCCTCCTGTTATCAGGTACAAAATCTGTTGCAGAACGTGCAGGACAAGTTCCAGACGATGTCCGACCAGATAATAACGCGCATCGACGACATGGGCAACCGCATCGACGACCTGGAGAAGAGCATCGCGGATTTGATGAACCAGGCCGGGATCGAGGGTCAGGGCCCGGAGAAATGAGACCCGTAGAGCTGGTTCAGCCACGCCCATCTGGAAACAGCATCCCAATCCCATAAGATACATACATCGAACACCTGGCACCCAGTCACCCGTATCAAGATTACAATTCCAGGCTCTCACATTCATTTAATCTCCTCCGCACCCAGTTGCTCCGAAAAACACATTTGCTCATCCGTTTATTGCATAGTTTTAAGTTTCGCCCACTCGGGGAAGATCATAATTTAAGTAACGTAATTCTTTGTGAGCAATGGCCAATAATTTTAAATTATTGCCGATTAGTTTCTATTTATAAATTAAAAATTCGAGAATTGTAAAATCCCTGGTATTTGGGGGTTCAGGACTTCGATTTAACAACCGTTACCAGGCGACCAGTTCCGGGCTTTCGTCTCCTCACCTGAAGAGTTAGGGCGTTATTGCGGGATAGGGGAGAGAAAAGTGTTATTTCCGCTTGATTAGTTATGTTATGCATATATTTATTCTTGTTTATCTGGGGCAAATAATGCAAATCGTGAGCCGTGTCCATTAAAACTGTATGCAAATCAACGTTGTCAGCTAGTTCTAGATAAACGTAGACAGTTTTAGAAGGGAAAAGAACCCTGATTCATTAACCAGTCTGGCCTTCTTACTTAGTACTTTATTTTGTCAAAAATTGTGTGACATATTTATGTCTTTAAAAATGGATGGGTTCAAATTTTAGAAAAGCAGTCCAATGCAAAACATAAGTAACAAAAATTTGTAAGGTTTTGATAAGTCATTTTATTGGATAATAATTTGTTTTTGAAGGGACGATTTTTAAGTAGAAAACAGTGGATAGAGGTCTGATTTCTTGGAGTCATTCCCAATTTAAATTTTTAATAAAATTTTTCTTAAAAAATATACGGTTCAGAATAAAATGAAGGATGTAATGATAAAACAATAATGGAACGATTTTTAAACTGGGGTTAAGAAACAAATCAAATTATTAAAATTGTATTTTGTCTTGAATACTGATGGGACCCCTAGTTGACTAGGAGCTCTAATTGTGTTTTTAATTTCAGTGCTAGTGCTGAGGCACGTGGAACTGTTTCTGCAGCCTTACATGGGTGGAGGCCACCGCCTTGAAAGGATGTTTGACCGTTTGCCTGCTGGGCTTGGGAGGAGCAGAAGTGGCACCGGCGCTGTTCGAGGGCGTGGGGACTTCTTTACCACCAGATCGGATCTTGGCCCCAAAGACATTATCGCGGGGAGTGACCTGGCTGCTCGGCTGGGTGGGCTCCCCCCTTTCATCGTCTGTTGCTGTTCCTGATTCCTCCTCATCGCCACTTTGATCGGTTTCCTGGATGTAAGTTTAAATGAGTTTTTCTTGGGTCAATCTTGAAAAGGTTTACCCCAGATCTTTTACCTCGTCTTCGTCATCATCATCCTCCTCATCCTGCTCATCTGTTTCCTCTTCGGGCTCTGTCCTACTGCCGTGATTGATTCCCGCTCCTGCCAGATTTTTGGTGCTCCTCGATAGTTTCTGACGCCTCTTAAGCGGACTAACAAGGTGCTCGTGCTCCAAACTATCCATTGATTGGGAGCGCAGGCCCTTCTTTAAGGCCGCCTTGCGAGGCGTGGGCTCCTCCTTGGTTTTCATCAGTTTCTGGAACTCCAGGAAATCGTCGCGCTCATCGATGCTTCCTATGTCATAGTAACTTGCGCTCAGCACCTCCAAAGCTTTGGTGTGCTGCTTCATGGAGATCAGTATAAAGTCGCTGATTATCTGCTTTATGTCACGCAACTTTCGCTGCTCGAAATTCCCGATGATATCGTCGATTTCCTTGTTGGTGCGCTGTACCTCCATTTTGGCCTTGAAAAGCTCCGAATCGGCGGCACTCTAGGAGTGTATATTTTAGATTATTATGAAAAGTATTACGCTTTATTCCACCCACATTGTTCGCTGAAAACTTTGACTTTAAGTCCAACATCTGGCGCTGACGTAGAACCTCCTTGTCCCGAGCTATAACAGCCAGACGAAGATTGTCCCTGGTCGACTTGCAAAGCTGCTCGAATTGCGCCAGCTCGTTGACAATCTGAGGGTGGGAAATAAAATGAGCCGAAATATTTGATATGTTATTATTAAAACATTTCTTAGTACTAGCCTACGAATAAGGTAATTTGGTTTTTTTTTAATGTTATGCCATTCAAATTAGTATAATTATTCATTACCCATTTCTTGCAATTCAAAATTGTGACGCTTATGCACGACATTTTAAGCAAGTATCTAGGATGGCACATTAAAATTATGAATACTTTTCTTTCCAATTCTCTTCAATTTTTTTACCTGATACTCCTAAAGTAAAAAGAGCTAGAGAGTTTAGATTTCTGATTTAGATTCCTTAGGTTTATACGCAGTGCAAGCTTGTTACCCTAAGTGCCATGCCCATTCTAACGCCCACAAACGGCACAAAATTGTGGCTTTTACAGCTTTAGTGCTAGAAAAAAAGTTTCCCTTTTCCTCTCTTTAGCTGAGTAACAGATATCTGATAGTCGAGCCACTCGTCTATTGCGCTAATTCTTGTTAGATCTATAAATGTAATTCTTTAAGACTGCACCTTATGTTCCAACCGGTGTACGTTGATGTCCATATAATCGCCCATAATGGTAACCGCATTAGTAAAGCTCTTAAGTCCATTAGAAAGACTCTCGTTGATTTCCTCATCGTCTGCATAACTCTTTACATTCTTGGCCAACTCATCGAAGGAGTCGCGATATCTGTAAGGGATCGTTATTGTTAAGAAATTATTATTTTATTATTTTCAATAATTATTATTACTATTTTCACTTCTCGCCACCAAGCCTATAGACGCTAGCTATAGAATAGGTTGCGCTATAGGCTAGGTGGCGCGTTAGTGACAACAGCCAATTTTTTGCAAGCATATCTCCATCCCTCTCGCACTCCCTGAGTAACGGGTATCTAATAGTCGAGGCCATCGAATTATGCATTTTTACTTGTTAAGTATTTTCACGGTACTAACTTGGCCATCTTTCTTGTTACCAAAGCGAAGGCTGAGCACATCTCCATTAAATGGCGTTCTGTAATATTGATCCGTTCGTTTATTATTTTGATGCGATCGTCTTTGGTGCTCAAAAAGGATAGTTTTCCGCGGCGAAACATTTTTATTGTATTTTGCTTAGTCCTCTTTTTTCTTTCTTTCTTTTGACAATAAAATCGAGTGCAAACCGTTACCAAGACAACGTTTAAAATCCAGCTGGCAACTCTGGTTAACAGACAAACTGTAAAATAAACAGAGCTGGTATGAGCTCATTTACAGTAGGGGGCGCTTCTGCCAGTTGCTTTGAAAAATACATAGATGGCGTTTTAATTGAATGAATTTGAATGTACATACATATATATATATGTATAGTTCAAGGCTATGTCATTACAGCGTTAATACGAACGGACAGATTAACAAAAATGTCTAGATCGACTCGGCTAGTGAAAATGATTAAGAATTTATATACTTAGTAGGATCACTGTGAACTCGATCACGATCAAGGTGAGGATGAGGGTGAGTGGGAGGAGCAGGAGGAGGGTGAGGAAGAAGATGAAAAGGATTATGCTTAACTTTAAGTATTAGAAATTTAAACCATCCTGCCTCATCCGTAGCAACCTCCACGTATGCCAAGAACTGCGTCTTCAATTTCTTTGTGCCTATCGGTCCTCCTCCTGATCCTCCTCTCCTACCTCTGATGTGTTCCGCTCTATACCTACAATGTGATAGAACAAAAATAGTAATTAAAGGACTATTTTTGACCTTTCTTAAAATCAATATGTATTACATATTTTTTTAGCCAATAAAAAAGTTAATACAATACAATTTGCTTGAAAAATAGTGTTAAATCATTAAAATAGTTATATTTTCAAGCAAAAGCAAGTGCAAATATCGACCCACCCTAATCTGAAATCCCATTTTTCTATCTTTGATATTTTCCGAGATATCCGCGTTCATATTTACGGTTTTTTGAAGTGGTTTGTAGGCGTTGAAGTGGGCGTGGCATCTTCTTTTTGGGTCAATCGATAGGTATTGATAAGGACAATACATTTAGGAGCCACCGTTTTGGGAGGTTTTGGAATTTTAATGGAAAGATAGCCTTTGCATGGTTTTGACTTTAACATGACTTTGTTCTTCGATTTGACGTTATTTGTCATCCATTTTTATAATAATTGGATCTTCATATAAACCCTGTTCCCTAAGAACCTTTTAAAGCTTATAAGGCCTATTCACACAGAGAGGGTTTTCTCTTCGTCGACTTTTTTTCTTCGTAAGAAATACTTGTGAAAGAAAAGGGAAAAAGTCGATGTCCGTCAAATTAGCGTCGGTGACTTAGCGGCGCTGGCGGAACGATGGAATCTGGAACACGGGGCCAATTTTTATTTTTTGTTTTTCTCGGCTTTTTGGGGCCGAATCGAAAAATATTAAATGCAAAGTTGTTTAGAATAAAAATATCTATCGATCTAGATAGTTTGCAAACATATCCGACTTCTAGAAATTTATTAAAAATCTATTTAAAAAATCGGGTCCCCACAATTTCGTTTATTGCTCCCCTCACAGAGGTTGTACCAATATGCACGGTAAACCTGGTTATTGGGCGTTAATTCAAGTTTCTTGTCAAAAAGTATCATTGAGCTAAAGCCGTCAGTTTTTGAGAAAATAGCTTAACAGTGAAGGCACCTCGGATTTTCCCCATACAAAATAGGGGGGCAAACAGTAAATTGCACAGGGCTCCACTCTCAGACGTTGTACCAACATGCACGGTATATTGGCAGATTGGGGATCGCCTAAAGCAAGTTCAGTGCAAAAATCATATCGATAAAGCCGTCAGTTTTTGAGAAAATCGCTTTACAGTGGGGGAAGATAATAATTAAAAGAAGTGGCGCCAGATTAAAATTAGAACCAGTAAGTTCCAAGACATGAACCACGATGTAAGAAATGTATTCAGGACACTAACCATATGGCAAAAAATAATGTTTCGACGCTATCTCTATTTTTAATTAATTTGACTTTCACAGACGTTGTACCAACATGCACGGTACCTCGTTGGAAAGGAAATTCATTTTGCTAACTAACAAATGCGGTTCGGCGAACGAAAAGCCGTCAGTTTTTGAGAAAAAAGCATAATGCGTGGTTTGCATCTCATTTGTAACAAAATTGTTCACCCTGTTCTAAGCTTCCAAGACACTAACCATATGGGAAAAAAATAATGTTTCGACGCTATCTCTATTTTTAATTAATTTGACTTTCACAGACGTTGTACCAACATGCACGGTACCTCGTTGGAAAGGAAATTCATTTTACTAATTAACAAATGCGGTTCGGCGAACGAAAAGCCGTCAGTTTTTGAGAAAAAAGCATAGTGCGTTGTGGGCATCTCATTTGTTCCAAAATTGTAACTAAGAACACATGAACCTTATATCGATACCCTATATCGATACTTCGATAAAAACGAATGCACGAGGGCTGGAGAAGAAATAATTAATATATTTTACTGAAACTCTTAAAATGTGAATTTCTAATAAACTACGGACCCGATTTTAATAAATAATACATCAAATTGATCAGGTGAGCGAGTATAATCGAAGGCGGCCGTCGATAAGGCTGATGGCCAATAAATAAATATCAAGAAATAAAAACATCAAAAGTAAATGCGTCGAATTTTTATTTTTATACCCGTTACTCGTAGAGTAAAAGGGTATACTAGATTCGTCGAAAAGTATGTAACAGGCAGAAGGAAGCGTTTTCGGCCCCATAAATTATATATAATCTTGATCAGGATCACTAGCCAAGTCGATCTAGCCATGTCCGTCCGGATGAACGCTGAAATCTTGGAAACTATAAGAGCTAGGCTATTAGGATTTTGCATGCAGATTCCTGAGCGTTTATTAAAATTAAGGAATATATCGAGTTTTTTTAATTTTTTTTTTGTAGGGTATGACAAGTTCGTGTATTTTGTACAAATTCTGAGTTCCATACACAATGCTGTTTCCCACCGATTTTCATTACAATTGTTTTTTTATAAAATACACTAAGGAAAATATCGAGTTTTTTTAATATTATATTTTGTAGGGTATGACAAATTCGTGTATTTTGTACAAATTCTGAGTTCCTTACCTGTTTCCCACCGATTTTCATTACAATTATTTTTTTATAAAGTACACTAATAAAATAAAAAAAAAATCCGATAAAAACGGACTTGTGTTCAAGAATATTTTTAACGAATTAAAGACATGCCTGATCAATTTGATATATTATTTATTGAAATAGTAGTTTACTTGTTTACTAGAAATTCACATTTTAAGAGTTTCAGTAAAATATATTTATTATTTCTTCTCCAGCCCTCGTGCATTTGTAGGAGCTGCCCTTGCGCTCTGGCAACATCTTGGCGCCATAACACATAAAAACGAAATTAAGTTTAATAATATTTTCAACGAAATAAAGACATGCCTTCGATTATACTCGCTCACCTGATCAATTTGATGTATTATTTATTAAAATCGGGTCCGTAGTTTATTAGAAATTCACATTTTAAGAGTTTCAGTAAAATATATTAATTATTTCTTCTCCAGCCCTCGTGCATTCGTTTTTATCGAAGTATCGATATAAGGTATCGATATAAGGTTCATGTGTTCTTAGTTACAATTTTGGAACAAATGAGATGCCCACAACGCACTATGCTTTTTTCTCAAAAACTGACGGCTTTTCGTTCGCCGAACCGAATTTGTTAATTAGTAAAATGAATTTCCTTTCCAACGAGGTACCGTGCATGTTGGTACAACGTCTGTGAAAGTCAAATTAATTAAAAATAGAGATAGCGTCGAAACATTATTTTTTTCCCATATGGTTAGTGTCTTGGAAGCTTAGAACAGGGTGAACAATTTTGTTACAAATGAGATGCAAACCACGCATTATGCTCTTTTCTCAAAAACTGACGGCTTTTCGTTCGCCGAACCACATTTGTTAATTAGTAAAATGAATTTCCTTTCAAACGAGGTACCGTGCATGTTGGTACAACGTCTGTGAAAGTCAAATTAATTGAAAATAGAGATAGCGTCGAAACATTATTTTTTTCCCATATGGTTAGTGTCTTGGGAGCTTAGAACAGGGTGAACAATTTTGTTACAAATGAGATGCCCACAACGCACTATGCGTTTTTCTCAAAAACTGACGGCTTTTCGTTTGCCGAACCACATTTGTTAATTAGTAAAATGAATTTCCTTTCCAACGTGGTACCGTGCATGTTGGTACAACGTCTGTGAAAGTCAAATTAATTGAAAATAGAGATAGCGTCGAAACAAAATTTTTTCCCATATGGTTAGTGTCCTGAATACATTTTATACATAGTGGTTCATGTCTTGGAACTTACTGGTTCAAATTTTAATCTGGCACCACTTCTTTTAATTATTTATCTTCCCCCACTGTAAAGCGATTTTGTCAAAAACTGACGGCTTTATCGTTATGATTTTTGCACTGAATTTGCTTTAGGCGATCTCCAATCTGCCAATATACCGTGCATGTTGGTACAACGTCTGAGAGTGGAGCCCTGTGCAATTTACTATTTGCCCCCCTTTTTTGTATGGGGAAAATCCGAGGTGCCTTCACTGTTAAGCTATTTTCTCAAAAACTGACGGCTTTAGCTCAATGATACTTTTTGACAAGAAACTTGAATTAACGCCCAATAACCAGGTTTACCGTGCATATTGGTACAACCTCTGTGAGGGGAGCAATAAACAAAATTGTGAGGACCTGATTTTTTAAATAGATTTTTAATAAATTTCTAGAAGTCGGATATGTTTGCAAACTATCTAGATCGATAGATATTTTTATTCTAAACAACTTTGCATTTAATATTTTTCGATTCGGCCCCAAAAAGCCGAGAAAAACAAAAAATAAAAATTGGCCCCATGTTCCAGATTCCACCGTTCCGCCAGCGCCGCTAAGTCACCGACGCTAATTTGACGGACATAAAAAGTCGCTACAACTTGCTGCATCGAAAAGTGGGACCGCACACGCATATTGATTCAGTATTCCAGTGTTTAACGAGTTTAGATAATTTTGGTACTTGGCGTTTCGGGATTTTTTTGAGAGGGAAATGCATGTGAACTGCAATGGCGCCGGT